CCCTTAAGGGAAGCAGACTTGGATTCCACCCCTTGCAGGGAAGAGTGTCAAAGAATTGTAGACAGATTTTAAAATCAATACACATCAGGTATCAGAATTTTTCTCCCTGGAGCAAATAAGTATTTGTAGCTTTTTGTGCACATCTTTTAGACAATAAGCTAGCCCTGGGTTTGTGATCAGGAAGACGTGCAAAAATACCCCTAGAGTGTCTATTGCCACAAAACAGGATCTAGTGTAGAGCATTCCCCTCTGCTCTCACAGAATATCACTACTCTCGTCTCCCATAAAAGTCATGGTCCTGTCACCTTTTGGCGAATTCTAAGAAGAGATGGATGTCTTCTTTCCCAGCCTGTGATCATGTGTTCCTGTCCTGCTATGGTTTGAGTATGGTTTGTCCCACCAAAACTCATGTTGAGGCTTGTTGGCCCATGTGGCTATGTTGAGAAGTGAGGCTCTGTGGGAGGCGTTTGGATTCTGGTAGTGGCTTGCTCATGAACAGATTAATGCCCTCACTCGGGAGTGGATGAGTTCTTGCTCTTATAGGGCTGGATTAGCTCCTGAGAGAGCAAGTTGGTATAAAGTGAGGCTCCCTCCCAGGTTTGGTCTCTTTCCCACATGCCCCTCCTTCTGATTTCTGCCATGAGCGGAAGCAGCATGAGGCCTTCACCATATGAGCTGCCTGAACTTGGACTTCACAGTCTGCAGAACTGTGAGCCAAAAAAACCTCCTTTCTTTATAAATTATGCAGTCTCAGGTATTCCCTTATAGCAACATAAATGAACTAAGACATTGCTAGCAGTATCAGAATTGTTGACCCATACCCCCATAGGAAGCAAACAACCTTATCAACTAAAGTAGAGTGCTTACAGACAAGTTACTTTGCCTTTGGTCCACACAGACTTATGTCATTTTTAAAGTGACTCTTAGGTCAGCACCTTTTCTTTTCCACTCCTGTCACTAAAGTATTAGTAATTCTGGTAGACAATCAGATTTAATTAAGTTTCAGCTTGAAATAGTTGGATAAAGACGAATAAGTGTCTGAACCCCAGTATAAAATTTGAGATTTGTTCATTACTACTTAAAATAATCCTGATACGTTTCAGAGTCTGAAAAGTTGACATTAAGTACTCATGGATTTCATTAAACAGGGTTTGGGGAAAAATATACATGACTATTTTTAGCTTGTATAAGGTCAGGAAGAGGTAAGTGTCTCTTGGATGGAATAAAAAGAAAGTGGGGAAAGCCAGGAGTGGTTGTTTCACTGCATTCTGTGGTTTATATTCATTCGGTCACAGAGGCACGTGGGGCCATGTTAGCCTTAGTAACATTAGGTATTTGTGTAAAGGATCAAGTGACAATGAGCCTTGGTTCAGAAAGTAACGAATACATTGCTACAGAGCCTGTATGATGAAGGTGACAATGTTGAGATTCTTCCTGTACTAGAACATTACTTATGTTTCTTAAGATAAATTTGTCCTAGGAAATTCCTTCAGTATCCTCCCTTTTTCCCTTTTCCCATTTTAATGAACTAAGCCAGTTCTCTTAAAATCTAGGGTGGTGAGTTACCTGAAACTGTCCTGGAAGAGCCAAGGCCCTGCTGTTCCTTGATGAACAAGCGTGTGCCCATGTGGGAAAGCCTCATGCACTGTGGGGCCCCGCAAGGTGGTGGCTTTCTCCAGATTAGGCACAAGTCGTTTTCTACCCTTCAGGTCTCCCACTCCACTTTCTGATATGTTTTGCGAGTGAGCATCTAAGGATGGAGACAGGCACTCACTCTTTACCTTGCCAGTCTCTGTCTGTCCTGAGTCCTCGCCTGGCGGGTTTACTTAGCTTGACCCTTGGAGGTGAGTAATTTATCAGTCTGGTAACGTTAACCTCAGGCCTGTATTGACATTCACTGAGCTCCCAACACTGAGTGGTCATTGTCCTGTGATTTGGGCTCTAAGGCAAAGGAGTAATAAAGAATACAAGCGAATCCCTACTGTATAATTTTCCAAGTTTCCCTTGAGCCAAAATGTGTTTCCCAAGTAACCGATTAGTCGGTGACTGGCTCTTCAATGCCCCTTCAGATCCTTATATGGGCCACTTCCTTCTCCAGCTCCAGAAGTCTCCTCTTAAAGTTGCAATTGTGAGTCTGGGAAAAGCTGACTGTAGCTCCCTCTGGGCACTACTGTGACCTGCAGGGCCCTGGGTGTTACGGACCTTGAAGCTTTTTGCTTATTACACTGGATATACCTTGTGTTGGTGCCGGAGCATCCCAGAGCTGTAGGTTATGGAAAGGCAACTGTTTTTCATGCCTGCTACTGGAGATGCCCTCTCCCACCGCAGGCAGGAGCTGGATCGCTGCTGCACAATCCCCTGGTGAGCTGGAAGCTTCCCAGTGTCTGGCGAACACCCCTCTGTTGACAGGCGCCTGGCTGTGCAAGCATCTCATGGCGGGTGCCTTATTACATTGCCATACATCCCATATACATTGCCATTATAGTGCTAGTTCTTCCTATTTCATTAAGGAGTAGGTACGTGCCAACACCTTCCAACCGAGCTCATTGTCTTATTTTACCCTTTCGTGGTTAATTCTGAATTCCATATTTGTGAAGGGTCCTTCTCTCCCAGATGCTTTCACTGCATTGAGAACCTCCAAAGCTCTGGGAATGCACATGAAAATAGCCCTGCGTGTTCATTCATGTCAGTTCCTCCTCTCTTGGTCAGCGCTGAGTTATGGCGGAGGCCCACACCGGAGCCCATGCATGCGCACAGGGCGCTGAGGTGACACAATGGAGAGGGCTGTGCATGTGCCGGCCAGTCGTGTTCCCTCACGCCCTGCCCCCACCCCAGCTCTCACGATTCCCTAGTCATCCAAACCAGACAGTGGGCAGACATCCTCAACTCATGCCTCACACCTTTTTCACACTGAATTCACCCAAATACTGCAAGCATCTTGTACCAACATTTCTGCGTCTCCTTTCCTCCCTCTCTCTATGACCATTGGCCCCAATTCCAACCTTCTTCAAATAGGTCACTTACAGGATGCACCCTACAGCCATACACCTCACATCTCTGTTCTCTTTAAGTCCACCCCTACCACACTCCAAAGCGATTCACCCTTCCTTGCTCCCACGGCCTGCACCGTGAAGCGCCCCCAGGAGTGGGTGTGGCTGCCCTGCCCACCTGCTGTCCCTGCTCCCACACCGCTGCTCTTAATGTTCCCTTTGCTTGAAACGCTCACCCTTCTTTTTTGCCTAAATTCCTTATTTATTAAGATTGAGTTAAGTAAACCCCCTTTTGAGCTTCTAGGGTATACATGTTTGCCTTTGTCACAGCGCTTGTAACAGGTGACATGTTAGCATATTTGTCTTCCCTTCTGTAGGAACGGGGATATTGCTTATTTTCTTTATCCCAAACACCTTCCATGTACACACAATAGGCCTGCGATACGTGTTGCAGAACTGAATCACAGAGTAGAGTTCTGAGTCTTATATGAAATTGGGACAGCATGCTATCATTTTGAAGCCCTTAAAATTTAAATGCCAGTGCCATTGAGTTTTATAATAATATTATGTCTAACTTGTAAATATATATTCACTGACTCATAAAAATTAGTAAGAATTTACTCCAATGAATGGACTAAGAGGCAGATCTTGTTTATTCAATATATAAATCAGAAACTAACATTTATTGAGACTCTACTGTGTATACAGAGCATTCACTGGTAGGTTTTGCTGATTGTGAAATACTTCCAGTTAGGGTATCAATCATTCATGTGGGCTAATAATTCTTTAAGATAATCTCAATTTCATTATTGTGTAAAGCTCCATTGTCATCATTTAAAAATTATGTAATATAATTTGGGATTCTTGACAAGGTAAAGGTCCAAAACCATGGACAGCATTTAAAAATAAATAGCATTTTTAAAATTAAAAGCCCCAGATTCCCAGGCATTCTTAGGCAACCCCTACAATAGTGGTCCGCAACCTTTGTGGCACCAGGGACCAGTTTTATGAAAGTCAAATTTTCCATGGACTGGGGAAAAAGGGGTGCGCGGGGGCAGGGGCGGGGGTAGGGGAGACAGGGCCAGGCAGGGCTCAGGCAGTGCTGGGCAGCCCTGGTTTCCTGGCAGGCCACAGACCTGTACCAGGCCCCTGCTGGGGGTGAGGACCATAGCCCTACGAGGCTGGCTTTACTACTCTGGACTCCCTGTGATGAATACCAGCTTTTATCTTGCACATCCTTTCAGTGCCACCTCGGGGTAAAATCATCCAAGTCTCCTATGGGGAGCCCACCTTCTCTCACCTCAGTCACTTTGGGGCACCTTCGACTTGGAGCAATCACACCTTGGAGTTGCCCACCACCGCAGTGTATCTACCTTTTCAGATTTTGAGTTCAAGGATGGCTGGAAAGTCCAAGTGTGGCTGACAGGTGCCAGGAGTCTGTTCAAGCTGTTGGTGGAGGCGATCCTCTCTCTTCACTGATGCCACTAACTATGGGGACCAGTGGCCCCTTGGAGCCGTCTTTGATGCCAGTGTGTCTCCCTGGTGTGTGCTAACTTGGAGCTGGGTTACAGCACCTGTGCTTACAGACTCCTGGAATCTCATCAAGGTGAACACGAAGGCATTTCTCCTTTGAGTCCACAGGTCCCCTGAGTCCCTGAAACCTGTGTTCCTCGCATTGACAACACACAGCAGGCACAGACAGGTAGCAGGTAGAGAGCAGGGCAGTTACATTCCCAGGTTCTGAAACCAGACTGCTCAGGTTTGCGCCTGACTCCACTTCTTCCCAGCTGAGGGAGCCTGGGCTGTTTTCTCAGCCATGAGACTCAGTTCCCTCATCTTCACATGGGAGTAACCAAGCACCCAACTCACGGGGTTTCCACAGAGGCTAAATGAACTTGTACGTGCATAGCACTCAGTGTGGGATTTGGTCCAAGCGTTCAGTGAACACTGAACTGCAAAGGTGGCTGCGGTGACGGTGACCACGGCATAACATTCAGATACTTCTTCCAGGCAGTTTCTAGGGTCTCCGAGGACACCGGAATTTTGTGGTTCAAGATGTACATCTTCAAGAATCAGGCATCTCTGCTACACTTTGGCTCTACCCCCTCTCCGGGCTGTGTCTCACCACCGTGTCCATTGCCAGTTCACGAGCACCGTGAGTCCACAGCCGGACTGCTAAGGGTATACTTCTAAACTTTCCTATAATGATTCCTTATGCAAAATTCAAGTCCAGAGAAATATTTCTGTCATATGGACCACTGCCTTAAAATGCTGGGTTAATATCTCAAAAGTGACAATGGTCTCAGCCTTTATAATGAAGCATATATATGTGTGTGTGTGTGTGTGTGTGTGTGTGTGTGTGTGTGTGTGATCTATGCACACATACACACTATACATTATGATATCAACGACAGGGGCATGAAACACTGGCTGTCATGTTCACAGCATACTACTGTAGGAAGGCCAGTTCTTTCCTACCTGTGGTACTTGACCGGTGGTTAACATCCCCTTCGGCTGTAAGTAGTAGAGGGAATGGTGAATTATAGAGAAATGAAGAACTGTTTTCATTTTAAAACTTCAATAATTCGATATCTATTGCCTTAATACAGTGTTTTTCATTTGAATGGAAGCCCAGTAACTGTGGCCAGGGGGCTGTTTAATGCCAGACTAATTGCCTCGAAAAGCACTTTTTGAAAAGAGAATTACTGCAACTTCCCTGCAGACAACAACCTAAGAGAAAACTTCGGAAACCACTGGGGTTTAAGAAAGAGCAACATCCTTTCCAAAGTTGCTAAACTACCTCTTTGTATTTAAGTGATTCATCTTGATAAGGCTAAGTAGGAATTCAGACTTTTCAAGATTTTCATGTTTTTATCTTTTGAGTGATTGGGAACATTCTAGAGTGCTGTGAAAATGTGTCTGCATGCCCTGCACTTGGAGGGCTCCAGGCACCCTCCCTCTGGCTTATCTCCCTGGGAAACGTCAGCGGGATTTCTTACTGCTCTGGGATCCTTCACCGCCCAGCTGGGCCCGGAATGTCCAGCTCTGCAACTCTGAGTGGTTCTGTTCTTAATCCTACAAGGCAGAAGTTCGTGGAGACAGAGCAGCCGGCTCTGCGGAGTCCTGATAGCGTCTCCTGTGGCTCTGGGTAGTCACAGATATTTAGAACTGGAATAAAGCCTAAAGGGCCGTCTGTTCCTCCTCACGTGCAGATAACAAAGAGGTCACGCAGTGGGTGCACGGCAGAGCTGGCTGGGATGCAAGCCCCCAGGGCAGGGCAGTACACTTCCCCTGCAAGGTTTTAGGGACATTTCCCCATGGGCAGAAAAAGGTGGAAATAGAGAAAATGCACCATGAGCGAGTTAAGATTTTGGTAAAGAATAAAGTGTGTTTCTCAGAATGAACAAAAGTTAAAAGCTATTATTTCCTCTTGAATCTGTAGTAATACAAACTGAGAGACAGAAACCAACTTAGATAAGACAGAAAGTAACAATTCTACATGATTTCCATGACTAATGGCTTTGAGAGTTAAGATGAGCAATCTTTAGCATCAGAAATTTAATAAACAAGCCTTGATTGTGGTGGAAGGCATTGGGTGAAGTCCCAGAGAGAGATTTGAAGTGTGGGGTGAAGGGATGGTTGCTGTCTCTTTTATACACAATTCCTTCTTGCTTTTTTTTAAACCAGAATATTTTTGCACAATTACACAATTTATGGTTATAATAACAACGTTTGCAAAAATACAATTTTCATTTTATAGATTGCTTCCACATTATTATTCATTTAATTTTTATCATTAATTTTATTTTACAGATTGAAAGGCTCAAAAGGAAGCGCAGAGCTGGCGGTTAGCAGCCCACGACCCGGACGACCGGGCTTTGCCTTTCCGGGCTGGGCAGGTCGTGGCCGCTCCCTCTGCGGGGAAGCGGGCCCTGCGCGCGGCGCGCGCCGGGCCCCCACGGCCGGGGCCCCACGCCGCCAGGCCAGGACGGCCGACCAGCGGGAGCACGCCGGGCTTGGCGGGCGAGGACCGCGCTCCTCTCCGCCGGCGCTCGAGGGGCCCACTGCGGGCGCACGCGCGGGCCGCGCGGGGGTCTGCAGGTGCCCAGGCCGCCGCGGGCTTCGCGGGACGCCGGCGCCTTCCGTGGGCGACGGGCGCTGCGCCCGACGGAGGGCGGAGCCTGCTTCCTCGCGGACGGACACGCGGGGGCTTAGCAGCGTCCCCTCAACGGCACGAAAGGGAGGCCAGGGCAACAGACAAGGAGAGCGCGTGGGCCCCGTTCTGCGGAGGAAGCCACGCAAGAAACAGACCAGGGCCTGCAGGAAACCGCCTTGACTCCCGGCTTGTTGGAGACTAAGACCCTTCACATTCCTACGACTTGCCTACGCCACGGGGCTCCTCTCTCGGGAAAATGCACCCAGGCCCCTCCAGCTATAGTTCCAAGAAGAAGCATATCCATGCCATGCTGTGCTCCAGGGCATGCCACTGGCAATTGTTCCCAACCCCCTGCCAGGTGGGGTTGAGTGATCATTCAAAAGGCTTCCCGGTGCCATTGGGATGCTGATGTGGGCTGATCAGCCCACAGGAAAGCCTCATTATTCCCCATTCTTTTTTTTGTTTTAAATATCTTGTGTTATCTGATAATAACCTACTAAAAATCAAGAAAGGAGAACCTGACAATATTCGCTTGTCTCCTTCATTTCTCTCGCTCATTCATTCAGGCACGGTCCCGCTCCCCGCGAGTAACAGAGTCCGCGGTCGGACACCGCTGGTCTCGCGTGCCATCCTCTCGGGCAGTGTGCCACCTCGTCTTGGCGTTTTCCAAGGGCTTTCATTTTCCGTTTTTGTCTTGGAGCATCAGGGGTGGGAGAACTGCCCAGGGTGCGGCCCCAGTCCGCCCGTCCCGCGCCGCGCCCGCCTCCTGGAGGCGCGGGCTGCGATGGGCACGGGGCTGTCCGGGCTGTGCTTCGCCCCTGCGGCCGGCTCCGGCCCTGGAGGAGGGGGCGCTCGCTCCCCGGATGCGGCCCGGCTGCAGCGCTGGTCGGGTGGGCTCTCCCATCGTTTTTTCCAGACAAATTTAAGCTATTTAAAAACACAGGTTTTGTTTTTGTGATCCTGTGAAAGACGCTCACAGGCGTGTCATGTAAATTGAAAAGAAGTTTTTTGAAAAAGTGAAGATTTTGAAAATCGAATTTCCAATTTTCATGTAATTTTAAAATTTGAGTTACTTGCATTTGAGGCAGTTTATTATAGCACTGGGGACACAGGAAAGTTTATTTTTAGGAATTCCCAGATGTCATTTTATATCTTCAAATTGGTATGCAGGATGAGATGCACTAGAAGCAGAAAAAAGCACAGGTTTCTCTTTTTCTTTCCACCCCAACCCTCACCCATGACTCCTGAACCATTAGGAAGCAAGGCCGGGAGCTTGGCCTGGGTTTTGAGATGCGAGATGCTAGTGGGCAGTTCCAAGCCTGGCCTTGCAAACTCAGGCTGCTTGGGGCCTGTGCAACATCAATGGGTTGTGCAGGTTGCATGGCCCTAAGCCTCAGTTTCCTCATTTCCAAAATGAGCGTTCAAGTAGAATTGACTTCAGGACTCAACGAGAAAAATGCATACAAAGTGCTTATTTGAGAGCCTGGTACACAGTGAGTGCTCAGTCGTGCAAGTTGTTGTGACTGTGCAAGGTTGTGACTGTTAATAAACAGTTCTACAGGGAGGGGAGGCTTCGGTGGCAAAGGAGAGATTGAAGATTAGTGGAGAAAGGAGATGATGGACGGAGAGAGGCCCGTGCGGGTGTGGGTGGGAGGGACACACTGGACACAGGTGGCATAATCAGCCTGGGCAAGGGGCCACCTCTCCTCTAGAGACCTGCAAAGAGGCCAGCAAGGTGCAGACACAGCTGAGCTCCCTGCCGCCCTCCCTCCAGGCCGGCTCTAATCTCCTTTCACAAATCATTTGTGATGAAGCAAGAAGGGGGGCTTTTATGGACATCCTGGGATCATAGAGACCTGCTGGCACTTGTGGGCCCACGTATGGGTGTGAGTGAAACGAGCGCTCACGTGCGTATGTGCTCAGGTGTGTGCATGAGTCGAAGGCAGAGGGGACAAGACGAGAGCTTGCGAAGCCACCGGGCTTTTCCTTCCACGCCGGACTCCTCTCGATTCCCCTCCCAGACTCTGCACGATCGTTTATGTGTGGGCACAGGTAACCTTCCTCGGAGGGACTGTGACTCACTAGAGCTGCGAGTCAGGTGTTGTTCGCCCTTCCTGAGGCCACGCCTGACTCTGAGCTGGTGGCACTTGGTGGCCGTGGGCCCTGTTTGTGAGCACAGACACCGGCTAGGCAAGCTGCTTCTCCATTTTCCTTTCCATCAGAGTTGGTGTGTTTGCCACATGTGTGACTCAGAAAGCAAAACCCCGTTCTCTGTGAACAGCCCGACATGTGGCACACTCACACAAAGAGCTCGCAGAAAGGCGTGGGAGGAATCCATGGGGAAGGCGTGGCTTACTTTCTAGGGCGTATGCCAGTGTCCTCATGCGTCCATTTCTGTGTTTGGAAGGCGATTTCACGTTCGCAGCATCGTTTTGCAGCAGCCACAGTTACAATGAAACTGTTTTCCTTTGTATGTCCATGAAAGAGGTGGGTGGTTCTTAGTGCACACAGAAAGCAGGAAGACGAGCAAATTGCGGTCCTAAGGAACAACCTCTTTCATCCTTGTCCCCAGTGAGCCAGTCCATGTACTGTAGACTCTAAGTTCATTAACTTCCATTTTCAACTTCGGATTTTTCTTCCTAGTACCAGGTTGTCCAATAGCCAATTAAAAAATTTATCTTAGAAGTTATAAATAAAAAAGATTTGAGGGTGAACCATCCTAAGTATTTCAGGTTTTTCATGGCAAAAGTGCTTGTGAGAGGTACAATTCCAGTGCCACCCCGGTTCACACTTTCAGACTCCAGAATTCAGTAAGTATTTAAAAGTACCAGAAAAGAATGCTATGGCAAAACTCCGTGAAGCACTGACATTTGTTCAAGCCAGAAAGGGTTTTCCCAGGAATAGCAGAGCAGCCAGATAGCGAGTGGAGAGACACAACTGAAGCTGCTACTTTTGACATTTTAGTTAATCTTTTATTCATGAGTCTGAGGGGGAAGGTTCTGGTGGCTAGGCTCTCTGAAGAACAGACATGGTGTACTAGGACTTGCATTTACTACTGTGTTTTTTATTCTGGGGTGAGGACACAGTGTAGACCCTGAAGCCTGTAAAATCCCAAACTGTTTGGCAGCACAAGATCCTGAAGTTGGGGAGTATAGCCTTTCTTTAGCCCTTGGAGAATCGCAGGCTTGTGGTGACTTATGCAGCTGAGTCTTCTGTGCCGACAAAGGCTGTGCCCGCTTTGCACTCATCCGCAGACACGGCCCGCAGGAGCGAGTGCCCACGGCCAGCTGCAGGTTGAGTCCCCAGGGCCCCGAGCAGGTGGTTTGGATTCTCCTGGCAGGTGTTATCTATCTACTTCCTGTGTCAAGGACACTGAGCTCTCTCCCTCTTGCACAGATACTGGAACCAAAATATTTCTTTTTAAGGAAAACTTTTCAAAGGCAAGCAGATTTATTTCTGTCACAATCTGGAGGCTAATTCCCTGTGTGATGTTTGTTACAGCCTTAATCATACAATATCAAAAGTGCTAGCTCCGCACCTCGCAATAAGCCTGTGGAATCGCTTCATTTGTTTTGGCCCAATTCTTCTCACTTGCTCAATAATATGAATCTTGGCAAAGAAAAGGAAGCCAGAGTCCAACCAAGTTCATATCACTTGGCGTTTGTGAGGCCTGTGTGTGTGCACACATGTGTATATGCGTGTGTGCATGAGCACCCTTGTAGGGGTGTGTGTGTGTTGCATGGGCCTGCACACCTACCACCCTGCAAACTGATCTGGAAAGTGGGTTAGAAAAATGTTTACTTTGTACATCTTGAGGGTAAAAGGGAGGGGGGACAAGAAGATGAGAGGCCAGGGGTCTACACAGGCTTACACAAGTGCTTGCTGAGGGCGATTGCTGGAGGTACCCCGAGCCCAGGTACCCCCAGGTACCGACCCAGACAAGGAGCTCCAAGAGGTGAGGAGAGAGAGCAGGTCAACGCCCCCTGGTGTGCTCCTTCACTCTTGTCCTCAGCTCTCTGAAGCTCTTCCAGTCACCTGCTGCACTCTGTGGCGTGAGTGACACTGCTAAGAACATGACTGCTGCTGGTCCTAGAGACGTTTCGGGAGAAGTGGCGACAGGGGCCACAGGACACCAGATGGCAGGCAGCCGCAGCTGCAGATGGCACTCACTCCTTGGGGCGAATGCCGGAGGCTGACACCCTTCAAGCCCTGTGACCAAGCAGACCTGGGTGTGGGGCTGCATGGTAAAGACACTTGACAAGGAGCATATATATGTTAACGTTATAAAGCTTTTTTTTAGTTGATTCAAGTCATCCAACGAGTTGTTAATTATCCAGACTGCTTGCACATTCCAAAATTTGTTGGAGGAAACAAAACAACTTCCGGAGAACCGGGGTATGGTGCCAAATTATTAAAAGGGAAAGGCACACAGAGTTTTAGAAGACCGTTCAGAAACTGATTCTGTAGCAACTAGCTTTATAAATGACTTTTGACCAGGAAAAAAAGGAGGGACACAGAATCTCAATAATAAATTCATTATTTTGAAATAACTTGTGGCTTTCATATCTGCTTCTAAAATGTATCCGAAGACCAGAAACAATATTCTGAGCAGGATGAAAGGACCAGAAGGGTTACAATATGTGCATGGGAGAGTAGACCCACCAAGATCAGCACAAAGTGAACAATAAAATAATATTTGTATTCTACTTTAAAGTTTAAAAATTATTTAACAGGCAAAGAAACTTGGG